AAGCTTACCCTGAAGCAGAAGGAAACAAAATGGGTTCCTGCTTCCTCAACTTCTGTGGAAAGCCCAGCATAAGTTTTAATTGTGCAAAGGTCACCACCGCCACCTGATCTTCCAGGTTTAAGGCAGAGTCCAAGAGTACTCCCAAACTGCGAACCTGAGATTTCAAAGGGAGTGTAACTCCATTCAGTTCAAGTTGTAACCCTAACTCTGGTTTGATCTTGTGCAAGACCTGCTGTACTTCTGTTTTGTCTGGATTAAGCTTCAATTTGTTTGCCTCATCCAGTCCATTACCACCCTCAGGCAGCGGTTCATGTGAGGAACTGCTTCCTTGGTTCAGGTGGAAAGGAGAAGTAGAGTTGGACATCATCTGTATACAGATGGTACTGAACTCCAAACTCCAGATGATCTCTCTCAGCGGTTTCATGTAGATGTTAGGGATAATGATGAGCCCTGCGGGGCCCCACAGTCCACAGCCTATGGGGTCCAGCAGGACTCCCCCAACACCACCTTTTGGAGATGACCTAAGAGGAAGGACCAGAACCACTGCAGTAGAGTGCCTTCAAGCCCCATCCCTGCCAGGTGCTCCAGAAGGATACTATGGTTGATGCCGCTGTGAGGTCAAGGAGAACCGACAGGGTTACACTCCCCCTGTCCAGTTCCCCACAAGGATCATCCACCAAGGCGGTGAAAGCCGTTTCCGTCCCATGACCCGGACTGAAGCCGGATTGAAATGGATCTAGAAAATCATACTGAAAATTACAAAATTACAATGACATACACACTCAATGCACATTCAACTAACCAGGACACAAATTAAAATGCCGGAAATGCTGGGGAGGGAGATGGCAATGAGATGGCTTCCATCTCTGTTGCCCCATAGCTGCCATTGTTCACCTCTCCAAGAAGTGCCTTATACTAACAGAACAGAGAGTTATTCCAGCAAAACTCATTGAAGGCTCAAATATTTAAAATGCTGGAAACGAACAAAACAAGTCAAGGAGCCTTTGCAAAGTTTTCTAAAATTGTTTGTAGAGATACTTAGCTGATTTGTCTTTGTTAAATATTTTACTCAATCATGAAACTTTTTACTCTTGATCTCAAGGATAAGTGTTTTTCTGGAGTTTTGTAAATCTGATAGCTAGGGTTTTACCCCCAAATGAAGCAATGGGTGTACAGGGCACAAATCCTTCAGTGAAGTACACAAGGAGTGCCCGTATTGCTACACACCCAGAGCAGCATGTAGAGGCCTGAAGTACTGTGTGGTGAAATTGTAAGTTGCTTGGTGTGTTGAAAGAGGAACATGAGAGCTGCTCCTCCAGGCCGAGTAATGGTAATAGTTGGGGCTGACTCAGGTCGCCCCTGTCTAACCAGTCTGTTTAAACCAGACCTTGGAAAACTCCCCCACAGAAAGCAGCTGGCATGACTCTTTGATAGATCTATGCTTGTGTGGCACAAAAGCCATGGAAGCAAACTCAAATCAGCCTCCCATGGCTTCAGATGCATGTGCGGGAACTACAAGCTCCCCACAATCTTCAGTTGTGGGGAGAGAAATGTAATTGCACCTTATCAAAATGTCTGTGAGATTGTCTCACAAATGAATGATTCACAATAAAACTCAAGCATCTCTTGCATGTCTCTTTCATCTTTACTTTCAGCTTATGCTGACTTGAGATTTTGCTGTGGCCACTGATTTTACTTCCGTTTCAACAAGAAACAAACAAACAAACAAAAAAGCCCAACCCAGCTGCTTTTCTAAAAAAGGATTTCATAATTTAATGTAGCTTGTCTGCTAACATAATTACAGTTGAGCATCCCTTATGCAGAAATCTAAAATTGCCCACGTGGGTGGCTGAGATAGCGACACTTTGCATTCTGATGGTTTATTGTATATAAATAAACATTGCTTTACAGATTGTAAAGCTTTACAAATATTGTCTATAAAATTCCCTTCAGGCTGTGTGTATAAGGTGTATAAGCAACATAAATTACAATCATTTCATGTTTAGACTTGGATCTCATCTTGAACATATTTCACTATGTATGTATATGGAAATACTGAGATTCCAAAATACTTCCAGGCGTGTCAGATAAGGGATGCTCAACTTGTATTTTTTTGATGCAGGAATTGAGAACTGTTGGGTGTGTTTATTTCATATTGTCGTGTTCTTATCTCCTGCTGTTTAAAGTGGTACCGCCTAGTACTGCCTCTGAGGCAGCTTAAAACATAAAAGAGGAGGAATGGTATGTGAGTAAACATTCCACATTCATTTTTAAAGGAAATTTATTTTACTAATTTGCTAGATATCAAGAATGGTGTTCAGAAAGCAGGCAATAATAAAACATTGTTTATTTGTTTGCTTAATTAGTTTCTTTTATAGTAAAGAAAAGGTAAAAGTTTTCCCTTGACGTTAAGTTTAGTCATGTCTGACTCTGGGGGTGATGCTCATCTCCATTTCTAAGCCTAAGAGCCAGTGTTGTCCATAGACAACTCCTAGGTCATGTGGCCAGCATGACTGCATGGAGTACCATTACCTTCCTGCAGGAGCAGTACCTATTGATCTACTCACATTTGCAAATTTTCGAACTGCTAGGTTGGCAGGAGCTGGGCTAACAGTGAGAGCTCAGCCCACTCCTCGGATTCGAACCGCCAACCTTTCAGTCAGAAAGTTCAGCTCAACGGTTTAACCCACTGCACTACCAGGGGGTCCATTGTTTCTTTTATATGTTGCTTAAATCCTCAAATGCAATTTACAGCAACTTTTTATTTGCAAATAAAATAAACCTCACTCAAAATATATAGGAAGAGGATACAACTACTTTAAAACCCCTTCGGTTGATTCCCTGGTTGCCTCTCATTGAAGGACATCTCTGGCTTCCACCAGAATCCTCCTCCTTCCCTCTGTGCCCTCAAACCCCTGTTCTGTAGGGCTGGAAGACCCTCGGTTTGGGTGTAACAGAGGGATTCATGACTAGCGGAAAGAGAGGAAAGTCCTGATTCTGCTGATGATGAATATGGAGGGACAATACTGGATCTTGACCCAGAAATCCTGTAGTTGAATTGCTGCTGTTGTGTCCCATCAAGTAATTTTCAATTTGAGGTGACCCTAAGGTGAACCTGTTATGAAGTTTTCATGGCAAGATTTGTTCAGAGACAGTTTGCTTTTGCCTTCTTAGGAGGCTGAGAGACTGTGACTTGTTCAAAGTCACCTAGCACAGTGTTCACCTAGCACAATGTTTTACTCTAATCAGGCCAGGAAAAACAATGTTCTACTCCTCTGACTTTAAGCCAGTGGTTCTCAACTTGTGGGTCCCCAGATGTTTTGGCCTACAACTCCGAGAAATCCCAGCCAGTTTAGCATCTTTTAGGATTTCTGGGAGTTGAAGGCAAAACCATCTGAGGACCCCACAGGCTTAAGCTGTGCAAAGGTTGGATGTAGTCACACCCTTTCTTCCTCAGCTTCCTTCTTCAGCTTCGTTTTTTGCCTGCCCTTCCATGCTTCCTTTAGGTTCTTTATTTTCAATCCACTACCTGCTGTTTGCTTCATCTTTAACCAGCTTAGGTTATGTTTTGCTAATGAAGTTTTTAATATCTTTTTTTTCTTTTGTATATTTCAGGTTCAGAATTTTCAATGGGAGAACTGTGGTCCTTCATCAGAACCTGCTGGGATTAAGAGCCTTTCTGTAAGCCCAGATCCCATTGCTATTCCAGGAGATGTCACAGTCAGTGCATGTGTCTACACCAGTATAGGTGTCATTTCACCTTTGAAGGTAAGGGGAAGGAATCAGGCCAGGAAAAATGACTTCTCACATCTCCACTATTTTATTTTATGTCCTGACTTTCACCCAGCATGGGACTCAAAGTTGCTTACAAGAAAGTAAGAGCTTAAAAACTTATAAAAGTGTTAGTCTGTAATTAAACATTAGTAAGGTAAAGGTAAAGGTTTCCCCTGATATTAAGTCTAGTTGTGTCTGACTCTAGGAGTGGTGCTCATCTCCATTTCTAAGACAAAGAGCCAGCGTTTTCTGTAGACACCTCCAAGGTCATGTGGCCGTTACCTTCCCGCCAGAGTGGTACCTATTGATCTACTCACATTTGGATGTTTTCAAACTACTAGATTGGCAGAAGCTGAGCCTAACAGCAAGGGCTCACCCCGCTCCCCAGATTCGAATCACCAACCTTTTGCAAGTTCAGCAGCTCAGCGGTTTAACCCCCTGCACCACCAGAAGGCCCTAATTAAGCATTAGGGAATGATTATTCAAAGTACATTGGGGCAGCTCAGTACTCTTAGAAGCATTAACATACCTTGCGTCCTTGATTTGTACTGGTGTTTAATACCAGGATCTCTCATGGATACTAAAATCTATGGCTGATCAAGTCCCAGTGGCTTGCATGGTTTCTTAATTCATGAGAGATGCTTATCTAAGGTGTGGCTTTTTAAATTCCTCTTTAGTCCTTTCCTCTTAGTTGTTGTGAGAATAAAGAAGGAAGTGATGTGGCTAGAGATAATCAATTCCTCCAAAAGGAGGAAATGACCGGTTCTCCTCTTTTGGAGAATCAGATGATTTTAGGTTTTGCATTTCCTCTTTTCTCTCATGGTCCCTGTTTGCAGTGAGTCTGGATCTACATTGCCATAAAATGCAGTTTCAGAATGCAGATTGAACTGGATTATATGGTAGTGTAGACTGCATTATATGGAAGTGTCGTTCCAGCCAGGTGTTAGGTCGGTTTTTCTGTTTACTTTGCATCCCTTTCACTGACTGAGCACAAGGCACCCTTTTATTAGTGTGGAACAAGGTCAGCAAGGGCTTCAGCACGGTCACAAATCTTCTCTTAGAAATGCTAAGGATTCAATAGGCTTTGGGCTTTCATGGAAAGTCTCAAGTTTCTCCTATAAAAGCAGAAGATATGTTTTTCTCCTGCTGGTGCAGTGGGTTAAACCACTGAGCTGCTGAACTTGCTGGCAGAAAGATTGGTGGTTTGAATCTAGGATAAGGATGAGCTCCTGCTGTTAGCCCCAGCTTCTGCCAACCTAGCAGTTCGAAAACATGCAAATGCAAGTAGATCAATAGATACCACTTCTGTGGGAAGGTAGCGGTGCTGCATGCAGTCATTCTGGACAACGCTCTTCAACTTAGAAATGGAGATGAGTATCATCCCTCAGAGTCAGACAAAACAGGAGGGAAAGAAGGCTTGCTTAGTTTCAAATATGAGGATTTCAAAGTCCCTTTCCAAAGCAGGACTCCAGATTCTGAGAAGATAACTATGTTGAAATGTTTAGGGTTTTTTTTAAAAAAATGAATCATGCAGAGGTGTGAATATGTAGCTTTATGAGAAGTACTCTCACACTTCAAACTCCTTCTCTCTTGACATACCTCTCTGCATCTGATGGCCTTTCAGCAGCACTTGGACCCAAGCCCATGCTTTCCTGTTAAGCAGCTGCATTTTTATATGTTAGGGAAATGCAGCTAATTCAGAGGAGGAGAAAAAACAACCTGAACCACTGGAAGAGATGATGCTAGGAATGAAATCATCTCCAAAAACAAAGGGGGGGGGGAGCAATCTAGCTTATTGGTTGTGCTAACGCTGTTCATTGAATCATAAAGGAGGTAAATTCTGGTCCTGAAATACCATCTCTGCTAAATCTGGACTAAGTCTGAGAACTGCAGTAGCATAGTTTAAATGCTACATGCTGTCTTGTTCTGCACTCATTTCTCAATTTTCCCCCTTGCTATTTTTCTTATTAATCTATAGATAATTTTCATTTATTTTATATTCAAATCACTTCATTAAAGGTGCATCCAGACTAATTAAAAAGCACGGAAAGTCTACCATTTTGTTCCTGCTCTTTCCAATGTTATTTTAAAGGTCTATACATGGTTTGCTTGTCCCAGAATATTTTCTATTGGCTCCTGCTATGATTACAGGCTTTTTATGTCAGCTCCCCAGGCAGTTTATTTAAATCCAGTATATACTGTATATATTTGAGTATAAGCAAACCCAAATATAAGCTGAGGCACTTAAGTATAAGTCAAGGGTGGGAAATGCAGCAGCTACTGGTAAATTTCAAAATAAAAATAGATACTTACAAATTTACATTAATTGAGGCATCAGTGGGTTCAATGTTTTTGAATATTTCCATAAAATTGTAATTTTAGATAAGACCGTCCAACTCTGATAAATACATTATTCTAACCTTCTTCAATGTGCTTAGATATCCTTCCAATAATAATAGAGTAAAATAACAAATGTAAGAAAAATAATAATAGAGTAAAATAATGGAAATGTAATAATAATAAATAGAGTAAAATAATACATATAATAATAATAAAGTAAAATGATAAATAACTTTGACTCGAGTATAAGCTGAGGGTGAGCTTTTTCAGCCTAAAAAAAGGGCTGAAAACTTGACTTATACTCAAGTATATACGATAATTGGAAAGAACACAAACAAAATCTGTGACTTTTAAAGAAGCCTGATGCATCTGACCTTATGTACTTGTTCCTGTTTTAAAATGAGGAAATGTAAGTGAGAGATAACATATAATGAAACTGTGGTAGGTGGAGAATCCACACACAGTGGACGATGATAACCCTGGGAGCTGCCTTCAGATCAGCTAGCGATGAACCTTTTAAATGATACTTCTTATAATTAACTCCACATGAAATGTTAATTGCAGTCTTAGGACTTTATCACACCAGCCTATTGCCTTTCAGCAGCCATGTTTCAACCAACAGAAACATATCTATATGGTAAGAATTACTATTCCATCTCCTCTCCAATAGCTCCAGTCAGGCTTCTGTACTCATTTGACCCTGCCTTCCTAACCATGTCAGTCTTGCATAGTGCATGCACACTGTTTATTTTTTCCCTTTGGTGCATGAATTGCACAATTCAATTCATCTTACAAATAGAGTGCCTTGATATAATTGCATAATTGCAGCATGCTGGCAATACCCCATGGCAGTTCAATTAAAATTTAAAATTTAAATAAAAACAAGGGAACTGAGTGGAGCAATGTACTTGAGGATAGGGAGACAAGAAGAGAACCACTCCCACTCATGTCACGTGACTGCTGGAGTATTGGAACTGCAATAGAAGAAATAATCACACCAGAACCAGTGCTTGAGCATCAGTGCTATTGGAGTCATTGGTAGGTTTTCCTATAAATTAAAAGATGCAAGTCAGTCACAATGGAAAGTCAATGCAGCAATAGAAGAATCACAATATTGTGTGATAAGGGAAGATCAAACTAGGAATTTTCCTAGTTCAATTGTTCAATGAGTCTATTGTATGATAAAGTCCTAGATCACTCTTCTAGCATACTTACTTATAAGTCTTAAGACGTAAAAATTAGATATATTGAGTTTAAAATGTACTAATGCACATTTTATAATCCTCAAGCACTTTTGCTTTTGTCTTACTTGGGCAAGTTTGGGTCTTTATTTTAGGCCACAGTTTGGTGTATTCAGGGTGGGAAGAGAAGAATCACCTCAGCATATTCCAAGAGAACTGCAGAAAGGGGAAGAGATTGCTGGAACCTTTGATACCACAAGCTGGATGACCTTGTGAGCGCTTATCATGCAAGGTCTCATGCTGGCAAGTGGAAAAAAACAGGCCAGCAGAACTCAAGAGTGATTACTTAAGAGTTTCTTCAACCCATGTATCTGGATTGTTTGCTTAAACTGGTCTTTTATGAAAGAAATCCCACATGCCTTTTCTGCTTAGTGGCAGCAGAGATAAGAAAAGTAGTAGGACAATTTGTTCATGACATATGTTTTCTTATTTTCTTATCTGAAGGGCTACAGTTTCTCTTCCATCATCTCACTCCCCTTCAGGCTTTTAAACTCTTGTAGAACCGATGCAGATCGTTTTAGCTAGAGTGGAGGGAGTAAAATAAATCAATAAATAACTTTATTTATAGCCTGCCCTATTTCTCCTAAGGGACTCAGGGCAGTTTCCAAGCAAGAATGGCAAATATTCAATGCTATAAAAGTAATACAAACATGCCAAATCAAACAGTATGTGAAACAATTTCAATCAAAACACATAATATAGTAAGATTGGCTGTTAAGCCTTTTAATTAGCATTTTCAAAACCTCATATTTACACTCTGCTAAAGATTCTGTTCTCCTTTCCATTAGCAATGATGGAAGCATTATTGCTCTTTACTGCCTCTTTGTGGGGGGTTATGGCACACTGAACTGCGCCAAAGTTTCGTTCCATGCGGCAGTCTGATTCCCTTAGTGCCCATCTTGCCAAGTACTTTTGGGGATTGCAAGCACCATTCCCTCATCATCCGGCTGTGTATCAGGGGAGAAACCATAGCTCAGTGGTAGATCAGGTGTTTTCTCCATAGAAGGTCCTTTTTGTCTTTGCCAGATCATTAGATGGCTCATATTTGGAAAATATCCATGCAGGAGATTCTGGAGAGTAGTGGCTAGTAAAAGCTGGTCAAAATGAACAGCTAGTATCCTGGTATTTGACATTGTTTTACATTTCCATGTCAGTTGTTTATTGTCATGCAGATCAATACACCCATCTCTGTTCGTTTCCGTATTGCCTTCTCAAGGATCATGTTACATTACACTATGATGAACTGCAAAAGTTAATTCTGCATTGTGTGAAGGTTCCTAACTCTCTTCTTCCTTAAGTTTATGTGAGGTGATAGTCTGTAAGGTAAAGCTGAAATTTGTTAGTAATACCTTCCCTAGCTGAATATGGGTGGACGTCTCTCAGAGCCTAGGTGGATTACATTAGGATTACCCTAGGAGACCATGGCAGGGCATCCCTCTTGTCCTGATCTCAGTATCATTTTTTGGGGGCTCTCCAAATGTAAAAGGGAGCATAAGAGGCATTTTCACTATCCCTTACCTGCCATTTGGGGCTCAAGGGAGACCTTTTTTTTAAACAGAGAGAAAGACATTTTCTGTTTCTTACAAGGTATTTCGGGATAATTTAGAGCATTTTAAAAGTTTTTTCCCTTTCTTTTTTACCCATGGGGACTCCAAAAAGAGCTCTGGGGCCTCATAAGCCTACAGACCTCACTTTGAGTTCCCGTACTATACAAGATAATCTAATTCTTCCTTCATGTCTCACAGATAAGTTGCACATATCTAGACAGCTGAACAGCAGCCTGTGGGTAGAATGGCCATTTGTTTAGACCTGATTCAATACTGTGTTGTGGAAAGGTTGGTGATGGGCAGTGTATTCACACTTTGTGCAATATCTATTTCTAGGCAGTAGTTACTCTGGAGAAGAGACTTGGTGAAATGTGGTTAAAGATCCCCTGCATGGATGAACTTGGGAGCTGCACGTACGACGACATTTGTGCCAAGCTGGACAGTCTTATCCCTCCAGGCACTCCATGTCCAGAACCCTTGCTGAGTTATGGCATTCCTTGCCATTGCCCCTTTAAGGCGGTAAGCCCACATTTTAATCTATGGCCGTTTAGTCTATGCAATTGTTTAAAAAAGCCTTCAACAACAACACAATGTTAAAAAATAAATCCCACTTGGGATTGGGAGTCCATTCTATTGGCTCTGTCCTTGGTTTCTGAGAATACCACTTTGAAATGTGGGACTGACTAAATAAACTATGGATTTTGATCTGTGGCTGGTTTAACTTGATAGATACCACCATCCTCCGCACAGAAAAAGAATACAGGATTTGAGCATTTTTCCTTTGGGGGGATCGCAGTGGGGAAAGGATGCGGAAGGGCAAGGCAGAATATTAGTTGCAGCACTTCTTGCATATTGTTCTAGAGAGTTCTTTTGCTCAGAGGTGGGCCACTTCTGGGGGTTTTGGCCTCTGGGATCATTCCACAGGCCCCGGTAAGATCAGAAATGTGATTTCTTGTTTGAAGGGGGGCTTTACCTCCTTCCACTGAGAACTGCTCATTCTGGAGTGGAATAACTATCTTTTTCTTGACAAAATCCTACCCTGAAAAAAAGCCTGAGGAGGTTTTTGTAGCCCATGGGGTGAACTTTGTTCGGCCTTGATTTACTTGTTCTACTGCAAGCAGAGCTGGTGAAGAAGTGCATACCAGTATATCACTGGTACATGTTAAAGATTGCCAAGAACTCTTTATTACCCTGTTGTACTAACAAGGCCAATGAGTGCTGCCTATTGCCTTTGATCAAGGAACAAAAATCTTCTGTACTGACAGATAAACAAGAATGGTACGGATTTTGCAGACTGATAAGGATTAGTGAATCCATGTGTGTGTCCTTCTTTTTAGGGTACTTACAATTTGCCATCCTCTGATGTCTACATACCTGACATAGAGTTACCTTCTTTCCTCACCAACGGAGACTACAGGATTCAGGTTGTAATGAGTAATGGCGATCAAGAACTTTCCTGCAGCAAGATCTCCTTCTCCTTACACTCAGGGAAGTGGTGGCTTTGGTGATCACCATCCAAGCATCCTTGGGTCCAAATGCCATATTGCCTTCCTGCTTTTTCTGTCCTGTTGATATTAATACTGAGAATAATTTTGCAGCCTTAGGGGGGGGGGTATTGTTTTTTATGATTCCTCTTAAATCACTTGGAGAAACAACTGGATGCAATGAAGAAAGGATTATATATATTTTAATCAGAAATGTATGGGCAACCAGTGTTCATTAATAGTTTAGGATATTTGTCCACATGGGAGGGTGCAGGAGGAGTAACATTCATGGGGTCAGTGCAGTTCCCTAGCATGCATACATGCAGTAAAACAATACATGCATAGTATTTGCACATTACAAAATACATTGAATTCCACTGCATTCCTGGTTCCTCATAATGGAGTCTTAGAGAGATGGGATATGGGAAGGGAATGTGTCCTGATGACAGGAATTCACCAATATATACATGAAGGACGAAGCCAATTTCTGCTCTTTTGAATCACAGCTCTGATTAACCAAGCAGGCCCTAGTACAGAGAAGCTTTGCCTTACCTAGTCCATCTGTCCAGTTGAGATGCTCCTTCATTATCCTTCATTCCATACACTGGATGAGCAGGCAATTTTGAGTGCTCCTTTAATCTCACCTTGTGCTTCCTGGGTATCGCTTTCCAAGGGTGGGACAGTGGAGCCAAGTGAAAGAAGACAATGAAAGAGGAAGTCGGGGACTCATCCACCTCTGAAAAACCACCAACTTTCAATATCCACAATCTGCTAGAGATCATGAACAATTGTTTCACTTACCCAGCTTTGTCTTGGACGATAGACTTGTTTTCTGAATGTAATATTGGTGTTTGCTTGGGGAAAAGTAGCTTGGAATGTAAAGCAAGCATCAAAGGCAAAAATGCAGTTTCAAAAAGTTTGAGAAGCACTGCCTTCTGCCCTATGATGCGGAAATATGGTGTTGTTGTTTTTTAACTTCCTCAACACTTTGCAATGTTATTGGTTGCAAAGGAGATGGGAATGGGACTTTTCTTTCAGTTTGTCTCTGGGAGCTCTCAATTGAGAATCAAAAATTTCTGAAAGGATATATCTAGAGCAGTGGTTCTTAACTTTTTCTTTGTCACAGACCCTCTTTAAATATATTTTGTTGCTGTGGACCATTAATTATACAATTCTCCAAGCTGAGCTGACTAGATCTTGTCTCCTCGCTCCACACCGCCATGTCTTTTGGTCACTAAAGTTGCATTTCTACCACTGTCAGTCGTAGTGGAGCAAGGGGTCTGTCGACCACAGGTTAAGAACTGCTGATTTAGAGTATTTGTGTGTGTACCAATGAATAAAGTGGCACCTTTCCTTCTATTTCGGATTTCGTTTCTTCTCATCTAACTAGAAGAAGAAAGATGTTTGTTGACCTTCCATTTCCTAAGGAACCAATTGAACCCATGTTCTGATAGAAGTCCTAAAACTCAAGGGAATATTTTAAGCAATCTGACTGTCTTGTGAATATTGGAAGCACAAGTTACCAAGCTGTTATTAATGAAATATGATGTACAGTTGCTATATTACATGCTGACAGTTTGCGTACCATGTTTTGTTCTCTTTGACAGATGGTTAGATTTGTTTTGTTTACAATATTATTTGCCGTGTGGATCTGAGAGGCTATGAACAAATATACTTGATATATGTTACATGGGATGGATTGGCAAAAGGCTGCTCCAGCTGGAGAGAATATCTAATCTCAATCTTTTAGAGTTTATCTGATAGACATAAGAGTTAATCCCTGTAGTGTTTCTGATTGGTTGGAGACACTGGGAACTCTTCCCTAAACACGAATGTAGGATTGAATATTTAGATGCATTCAGGCTTTTTCTCTCACCCTAGCTTTTCTTAAATTTGTACAGCACTCATCATAGGCACTGCAGATTCCTGTGAATTTATACCTGTAGGCATCATCACAGGTGATATTACATACATTGTCCTAGATGTCAATAAACACAAACATAATTCTGCCTTTTGCATTTTAACTTTTCAGGTGTTTTTATACTTACTGTAATAATATTCTTTATCTTGTGCCATTCTGTTTTGTTTGAATGTGAGTTGTGTGTATTATTTCACAACCTGCTGCCATTGTGTTTATGCAATGTGTTTACATTGTGGCCCTCTTATGGTACCCAACATGTTTCTGTGTCTTCTCCACTGAGTACTCCGTCTCCCTCTAATCCAAACACATACTAAATCTGTGGGGGAAACATAATAAAGTGTATAGGTTACTAACACTCCTAGCTAAACTTTCAAGGTTTTAGTTGTTAAGCTAAAAATATTTAAAAGTGTATGCATAGTACAACCCCCCCTCCACAAATATCTACAAGGAATAGATTCCAAAAGGCTTGTGGATACCTGAAACCACAGATAGTGGTAAAACGTGTATGTATGTATGTATGTATGTATGTGTATGTGTGTGTGTGTGTGTGTGTGTGTGTGTGTGTGTGTGTGTGTGTGTATATATATATATATATATATATATATATATATATGTTACTAAACTTTGGTGAGAAGTATACCATAAATGAGTGTGGGAGGATCTAGAGAGCCCCACAAACACTTCCGGGGCATGTGGGTAAGTGAACCCAGGGATATCAAACCATGGATGAAGGGTTGCACTGTACATAGTTATGTCTATGCATCTATCTATTGTGTATATATACAGTATATATATCCACAACTCAAGTGATAAAATCATGAGTGGCCCATGAGGATCCTGCGTTCAGTTGTCTGAGATGTGGCAACTTCCTCTCACTCCTTAGTGCGTATATAGAACCTACTTCTATATAACCTACTTCTAAAGAATATTGTAAGCCTTAATTTAAGCATGTCCCAATGCTATATAGTTAGATGTGAAAACATAAGGGATATCATTTATTTTTCTGTTTAGTTATTGTTTAAAAAAATACAGCATGACGCCCATGTCTGCAGGATCGCTATCAACATCCAATAAAATATAACCACTCTAGGTGTTTTCTAGGTCTTCCAGCATTACTCTATGTTATTTTTGGACCAGAGGGGTTTGCTATTCTCCAGTTTTGCATATTTCCAGTGGATAGATATGAGGGTCACACGGTACGTTACCACAGTCTGTAAACAATTATAAACTTTTCTATTGATTTCCACTCTGTGCTATGAATCCTGTTCAATTGATCTCTGATTATGTTCATTATGTTTATCACAAGCTTGCTCTGATTTTGTGGGTCCAATTTCATGTTGAAAAAATACAGTGGCCTTTAATAATGGAGCGCTAAAGAGTGATTGAATAAATCCTTTTATTGGTAAAGCTGTGCTTATCTTTGGTTGATGTACATGCACTGGGGTTAAAACCACACGATTACGGTACATTGGAATGATGCGATTTTGGCTCGCATGCCTGACAGTTCTTTTCGTCTAGGCAAATGTCATTACACCAAGGATAGGCAACTGCACGCCTCTAGATGTATTATACATGGCCATAACTCCAATCATAAGAGCCAAATAGTGAGGAATTGTTGTAGACCTTCAACCACAGTTGCCTGTTTTACAAGTTCTTACCATGAAGATGCCATTTTTTTGTGTCAGGAGTGACTTGAGAAACTGCAAGTTGCTTCTGGTGCAAGAGAATTGGCCACCTGCAAGAACCTTGTCCAGGCGACACCCAGATGTTGTGATAGTATACTATCCTTGTGAGGGTTTCTCTCATGGGGAGCTGGAGCTGACAGAGGGAGCTCATCTGCACTTGCCTGGATTCGAACTTCTGACCTGTTGGTCTTCAGTCCTTTTGGCACAAGGGTTTAACCCATTGCTCCACTGGGGGCTCCATAAAATAAGATGCTAATGAATTTCATCAGTTAATTTTCTTACAGAAATCCTCATAATAGCAATTTTCTTTTGAATATAATGCTAGACATAACCTGACATATCCTGTCTCACTGTCAATGTATAGGATTCTTAAGACCTTTCCTTTATCCAAAGTGGTTTACTCACAAGTAGCTGTCCATAGGATTCTGCTGTAAAACTCCCAGTTCTTTTGTAGATTTATTTGTGTATCCTATTAAACATGCTGGGTTGGAACCGAAACTAAGGGTGTATCTATGCTATACAATTTATACAGTTTATGGTTTGACACCACTTTAAATGCAATGGACGTCACTGTCAGCCAGGATACTCTCTCAATTTCAGTCTAACAAATTATCTCATGGAGCAAAAGCCCGAAGTGTCTTTCAGTGCAGAGTTTGGGCCAAGCCAAGGCTTTTTGTAGCCTCAGATGTAGCAGCAAATCTTCCTCCACCATTTTGGTACATAACATCCAATGCCAATCATTAGGACATTTGAAGCAGTATTTTCAACAACTACCTCTTTTCTCTCTCCCACAGACTACAAATAACTAATACAATACATTTAGGCCCCTTCCACACATCTGAATAAAATCCCACATTATCTGCTTTGAACTGGAATAAATGGCAGTGTGGACTCGGATAACCCACTTCAAAGCAGATATTGTGGGATTTTCTGCCTTGATATTCTGGGATATAGGGCTGTGTGGGTCCATTGAAACTAACAGTTTGCTGCCCTTTCAGCCTGAGAGCCCAAGCAGCTGATTTTCCAGCCCATTTGAAAAACAATTCTTTCCGTATTCATAGACTGTCTCGCCCCTCCCAAGGCAGCTCACAAGACAGTAAAAGACAAACTATTAAAATCAGAACACACTGGAAAATGCGAATGCGCCAGAGATGTCAAGCAGCATCCCAAGAAAGAAGCCCTCGGGCCATTCAAAAACTGACCATAAAGGTTGAGTATCCCCTGTCTTTTGAATTGTTTGGAATACATTTTGGAGATAGGACCCAAGTCTGAACATGATATTTACATATGTTTCATATGCACCCTATACATCTAACCTTACGGTAATTCTATGCACAATATTTTTAGTGGTGCATGAAATAAAAGTCTGTACACATTGAACTAGCAGAAAGCAGAAGGATCAGTATCTCAGCCATTCATGCAGACAAATGTGGAGCATTTCAGATTTCAAGATAACGAAAATTCAACCAAGGATCATGATAGAGTGGGATAATTGAAGGGTGATTTGGACAGCCCAGCCCAATTTCACAATCAGGAAAAAATTGTCAGTAGACATCTCCAAGGTCATGTGGCCAGCATGACTGCATGGACCGTTGTTCCTTTCCCGCAGAGGCAGTACCTATTGATCTACTCACATTTGCATGTTTTTGGACTGCTAGGTTGGCAGAAGCTGAGCCTAACAGCGGAAGCTCACTCTGCTCTCCAGATTCGAACCACCAACCTTTTGGTCAGCAAGTTCAGCAGCTCAACAGTTTAACCCACTGTGCAACACCTTACCAAATATATATATACTAGCCTGGGTACCCAGCGGGTTATTTGAAAAGTCAATTTTTAATTGTACAAAATGCATAAGGTTGTCGGTGAAATACAACTCACAGCATGCCAGGTAAACCCCAAAATCTCCATCAGTACTTAAAGTTTGTTATATTGGGCAAGTTTGCTCTATTATTATTATTATTAATTTATTTATACCCTGCCCTTCTCACCCCAATGGGCGACTCAGGGCGGCTTGCAGTCCATGGCATACAATGCCGCATTACACATATAATAATAAACATGACATATCAATGTAAACAACACATCAAGATGCATCATCGGTGGGTTTCAGTGTGCTCTCTGGCTGTAGGGTAAACTACAACTCCCACAATGGTGAGTCAGTTCCTTCAAACCCCTTCAGGCGGTTGACTTAGTCATGGGGGTTCTGTGTTTGGTCTAGGTCCATCATTGGTGGAGGTCATGGTTTTCCTGGTTGTGGGTGAACTAAAATTCCCTAAAAGGAAGGTCAGTTCCTCACAAACCCCTCCAGTAATCAAATTTTGGCATATCAGGTATGTGTGTCTAGTTTGGTCCGGATCCATCGGTGTTCGGGTTCACAGCGCTCTCTGGATGTAGTGAACTACAACTCCCCCAAATCAAGGTGAATTTTCCCCAAAGACCTCTGGTATTTTTTGCTGGTCACTGTGGACTCAAACAATGATGGATCTGGACCAAACTTGGCACAAGCACTCAATACGCCCAAATATGAACACAGATGGAGTTTGGGGGGAATAGACCTTAACATTTGGAAGTTGTAGTCACTGGGATTCATAGTTCACCTACAATCAAAGAGCATTCTGAACCCCACGAACGAAAGAATCGGGACAAACTTCCCACACAGAACCCCCATGACCAACAGAAAATACTAAGGCCATCCAATGCAACGCCCTTCATCAGGGCAAGAAAACGTAATCAAAGTCCTCCTGACAAAGAGCCATCCAGTCATAGGTAAAGATAGATAGGTAGATAGGGAGTTGCAGTTGCTGGGATTTATAGTTCACCTACAATCAAATAGCATGATAGAATTGAACCAACCGGGGCATACACGATTTCCATGACCAACAGAAAACACTAGAAGGGTTTGGTGAGCATTGACCTTGAGTTTGGGAGTTGTAGTTTACCTACATCCAGAGACTACCATGGACGCAAACAATGATAGATCTGGACCCAACTTGGCACGAATATTCCATATGTCCAAATATGAACACATATGGAGTTTGGGAGAAATACACATTGACATTTGGGAGTTGTAGTTACTGGGATTTATAGTTCACCTATAATCAAAGAGTGTTCTGAACCCCACCAATGACAGAGTTGGGCCAAACTTCCCACAGAGAATCCCCATGACCAACAGAAAATACTCAAGGCCATCCAGTCCAACTCCCTTCACCAGGGCAAGAAAACGTAATCAAAGCCCTTCTGACAAAGACCCATCCAGCCATAGATATAGATAGATATGATTCACACACACACAAATATAGTATCATAGATTTGAAAGGGACCCCTGAAGAAGGACAATTATATGTTGCATGTTCCAGAGTAGGCAAACCAGACACTCTCCACATCAACACTGACAAAGAAACAGCAAGATATACTGTTTAACCACAAGAAGAAAGACATTACATCTATTACAAATCAACACTTTCTTATTACTTTATTTTCCATATCAACAGACTAGGCCACAGCAACGTGTGGCAGGGGACAGCTAGTAGCTTTATAAACAAGCACCTTGTTATCCCTACAGATGTCCCGGTCCTCAAACACTCTCTGCTTCATTTGGAAAAATGCTGCACTCGCAGAGCTCAGGCGGTGTTGTATTTCAGTGTCAATGTTGACTTTTGTGGAGAGGTGGCTGCCAAGATAGCGGAAATGATCAACATTTTCTAATGTTACACTATTAAGCTGTATTTCTGGCATTGCAGAGGGATTGGCTGGTATTATTATTAGCCGTCCTCTGCCACGCGTTGCTGTGGCCCACATGGGGGTTCTGTGTGGGAAGTTTGGCCAATTCTATCATTGGTAGGGTTCAGAATGCTCTGTGATTGTAGGTGAACTATAAATCCCAGCAACTACAACTCCCAAATGTCAAGATTCTATTTCCCCCAAACTCCACCAGTGTTCACATTTGGGCATATTGAGTATTCTTGTAGCGTTTGGTCCAGATCCATCATTGTTTGAGTCCACAGTGCTCTCTGGATGAAGGTGAACTACAACTCCAAACTCAAGGACAATGCCCACCAAACCCTTCCAGTATTTTCTGTTGGTCATGGGAGTCTGTGTGCCAAGTTTGGTTCAATTCCATCATTGGTGGAGTTCAGAATGCTCTTTGATTGTAGGTGAACTATAAATCCCAGCAACTACAACTCCCAAATGACAAAATCAAATTTTTTTGAGTGATGATCACTCCTTGGGTTAGTAGGTGTCTTGTGGCCAAATTTGGTGTCAATTTATCCAGCAGTTTTGGAGTTCTGTTAATCCCACAAAAGAACATTACATTTTTATTTATATAGATGTGTATTGAGATTGGGGAAAGTGGAAGGCAAAAGGAAGAGGGGCCGACCAAGGGCAAGATGGATGGATGGCATCCTTGAAGTGACTGGACTGACCTTGAAGGAGCTGGGGGTGGTGACGGCTGACAGGGAGCTCTGGCGTGGGCTGGTCCATGAGGTCACGAAGAGCCGGAGACGACTGAACGAATGAACAACATTGAGATTGAGATGAGATGATGCGAAGCACACACCGTCCTCTAGGTGGCGCGGCCGAGTCCCTAACAAAAAGGACTAAGACGAAATCCCTGCTAATGCGCCTGCGCACCTTCAGCACCTCCTCCTGGGTGTCTTGTTTGGGCGGAAGAAGCCTGCCCGGAGCCTTCCACGCTCGGGAAACCCGGTCAGCTGACCCTGGATGAATCTGAGAGAGCCACGTGAGCAGCGAAAGGCGGCTGGGTCAGGTGACCTGCCCCAGGAAGAGGCCAAGATGGAAAGCCGGTGAAAGGGAAAGGGAGAGGAGCAGGAGGCGGCGAAGGGGAAGCGGGGGCAGGCAGGTGAGCGGAGGGGCGGGCCTTGGGGGCTCCTGCGGGTTGGAAGGAGGCCGGGAGGGGCGGGCAGGGGGGTTTGTAGGCTGGTAGAAAAGATATATAATCATGCACACACACACACAGAGTGAAAGGGCAGAGGACCAGGAGGCTGGGGCCATCAATGGATGCGCTTCAGTGTTGTTGGGAAACGAATTGCTGGATTGTTTGAAAAATACATAGATACTCCTGGTAAGTTATTTAATCGCTGCATGCAGAGAAGGCCATCTGGGGGTACAGCTCTTTTTGGTTGTGTCTACACTGTAGGATTAATGCAGCTTGAGCCCACTCTAGCTGCCATGACTCATTGCTATGCAACTTCCAGCTCCTATTTTCTTTTTAAGAGCTTGCTTGGGAATATTAAAGCTTTCCATCTTCAAGCAGTTGGAATTGGGCTTCCTGCAATATCAATATTAATGGGAAAGGGGTGCAAGACAAGGTCTAAGATGTGCAGAGGAGTCTCTTGCCAAAGACAGCATTTGATCCATGCAAGAGATAAGGACAGTCAGCAAACTGTGGGCAAGAAAAAGTAAAGGTAAAGGTTTCCCTTTGACATTAAGTCCAGACATGTCCGACTCTGGGGTGTGGTGCTCATCTCCATTTCTAAGCTGAAGAGCCAGCGTTTTCCGTAGACACCTCCAAGGTCATGTGGCCAGCATGACTGCATGGAGCGCCTTCCCGCTGGAGCAGTACCTACTCACATTTGCATGTTTTCGAACTAGTAACTAGAAAAAGTATAGACATGCTTTATCTGCAGAAGCCTCTCACAAGGGTGATAAAAACATCAAATCATCTGGGCATCCCCTGGGCAACGTCCTTGCAGACGGCCAATTCTCTCACACCAGAAGTGACTTGCAGTTTCTCAAGTCGCTCCTGACACAACAACAACAAAAAAGGAGAATTACTTTTTGAGTAGACAAGGTTTGCACAGCAAAGCGGAAACTTTTTTTTCTCCTCATTAAAAGCCAGCTTTTTTCAGATCATGGTCTTGCTAAGGCTGTATCTACACCACAGAATTAATGCAGTTCTGCCCCACTTTAATCATTATTGCTCAATGCAATGGGAGCCTGGGAGGTGTTGTTTTGCAAGGTCTTTAGCCTTATCTGCCAAAGAGAAGTTACAAATCCCAGAATTCCATAGCATGTAGCCGTGTCAGTTAAAGTGGTGTCATGCTACATTTATTCTGCAGTGCAGACATATTATTATTATTATTATTATTATTATTATACCCCACTTTATCTCCCCAAAGGAGACTCAAAGTTGCTTGACATAAAAGTATTAGCACATAATTTAAAATATACATATATACAAACATTACAATAGAATTAAACACAAATAGCAGTAAAATAAATTCAATTAAAATCCATCAAAATATATTAAAAGTTAAAAACCAGAGCATACTTAGTTGTGAAATTTTTCCCATTTCATTTGTTTTTCAATTATTTTCCATTTTTATGTGGCTTTCGACTTTGTAATATTTTTGTTGCTTGTGCTCTTTGAAGGGATATGTTAATATAAGGTAGTATATATAAATATTGTCATAAATAAATCAATTTGTACAAATACACAGTAGACAGGGTCTTGATGTAACAGGGAAGCAAGTTGTGGTGGGATGAAGCAACCCTGAAGACATTTTCTATAACAGAATTTGGAGTGTGTGGATAGTTTTGTCATTTGAAGGCAAAATTAAGCCCAGCAAAAATAGGTGATGGGGAGATTGTGCACTGTAAAAAGAACCTGTGCAAAGGAACTCGTATTTATGTATAAGAATACACTGAAGGAAGCATGCCCTAGCATGGATACCTTTCAATTGCTGCAGCCTTAGGATGTGGACAAGATCCTTGGAGAGGTGAGAACTACCACATGTATTGCAGATCCTTGCCCTTCCTGGCTGATCAAACAGGCTGGAGGGAGACTGGCAGAGTGGGTGAAGGGGGTGGTCAGTGCCTCCTTGGACCAAGGTAAAGTTCCAACTTGCCTAAAGGAGGCAGTTGTGAGATGTATATTTTAAAAAACCACCCCTGGACCCCTCCATAATGGACAACTATCAGCCAGTGTCCAACCTTCCCTTTTTGAGCAAGGTTTTGGAGCATGTGGTGGCCTCCCAAATCCGGGGATGGCTGGATGAAACGGATAATCTAGATTCATTTTAATCTGGTTTCAGGCCTGGCCATGAAACAGAGATAGCTTTGGTGACCTTGGTGGTTGACCTATGCAGAGAGCTAGACATATGGAGTGTGTACCTGTTGTTTCTCCTGGAAATTTCAGTGACATTTGATACCATCGACTATGGCATCCTTCTGGGTTGTCTCTCTGGGATGGGACTGGGAGGCACTGTCTTACAGTGGCGCCGGTCTTTCCTGGAGGGTCATACTCAGACTCCTGTTCGAACCCCTGCCCATTATCCTTTGGGGATCCTCAAGGTTCCATTTTGTCCCCCATGCTTTTCAACATATACATGAAACAGCTTGGAGAGGTCATTTGCGGTTTTGGTGTGTAGTGTCACCTATATGCAGATGACGTCCAACTCTACTACTCCTTTCCACCTAATGCCAAGGAAGTTGTCCTGACTTTAAACCAGTGTCTATCATTAGCAATGAACTGGATGAGGGCAAACTAATTGAATCTTAATCCAGACAAAACAGAGGTGTTCCTGGTCAGTCAGATGGAAGATCAAGGAATAGGGATCCAATCTGTTCTGGATGAGGTCACACTCCCCTGAAGACACAGGTCCACAGTTTGGGGGTCCTCCTAGACTTGGCATTGAACCTGGAGGCCCAGGAATTGCTGTGGCCAGGAGGGCCTTTGCACAATTAAAACTTGTGTGCCAAGTGCACCCATTCCTGGAGAGGCCTAACTGTGGAACTCCATTCTTCCCAGAGAATCCAGCAGTTGCCTTGAATTGTTATTTGAGCAGAGTGAAACTTTTCCATGTATTGTACAGGGTCACACATAGAAGTAGTATAAATGTCTCATTGACATTTCTTGTCTAGGTTTTGAATTGTACTGTGGATTATGGGTATTTAAGAGTGGGGCAATCCATAAGCTTTGGATTTTCCATAACAACATAACATTTTTCATCCTTTTCAGTGGAGTTCTGCATGTTCTTAAAGATTTTGGAAAAGACAAGAACTTTATGGTACTTAGACATTGCACCAAAAAGGCCCCAGGTTCCAGAGTATTGAAGTCACTGGACCAACAAGCAGTTTCCTATTCAGTGTACAGTTGTGATGTAGACAGACATTGGGCATTTCCCAACTTCTGTGGTAAGAAGTAGCATATGGAGGTATTACTCTTCCTCAGCATTATTTCTTCAATAGAATACCAAATAATACCAAAGACAGAGATAATGTAGAAAGAGTAGGGATAGGTTTCTACACCATAAAAAAAGAATAACTCAGCATGTTCCGGTATACTGTTTACGCAGAGCTAACAGTCTGCACAAGTGAAATGAAACAGCCAGGTCAGGTAAACCTTGTAAGTAAATAAAAAGTGTTTTGAACTTTATAGAGATCACTTGGAAACTTCTTCCAAAATGCATGCAAGGATGCAGATGACACCAAATTAGGAGAAATAGAGAGTGTGGTGGAAGCTCCTTCCTTGGAAGCTTTTTTTAAAAATAATTTTTATTGATTGTTTAGGGAAAAAAAGGGGGGGGGGAGAAAGGAAAAAGGAATTAAGAAAAAAAGAATGGAGAAAAAAAAGGGGGGATAGGAGGGGGTAGGTAAAAAGGGGTAGAAAAATTAGATTGGTGAAAAGGAAAAAAAGAAAGGAGGCTAACTGTGGTGGAAGGGAGTACGGAGGTTTCCTTACTAATGGGAATGGGCTAAAGGGGAATGAAAGGCAAAAAATTGAAATAATTGAAATAGAGAATATAAAAAAAGAAGGAAAGTAAAAAAGAAAAAGAAAAATGGTTGAAAAAGTATATATATATGTATATTTGAAAAAATGGCAGAGAAAAAATAAAAAAGGAAAAAATAAAAATCTTCTTGTCGACTTCCAAATTCTTATCCCTTCCGGGCAATTAGTCTCTTGCATTTCTTTCCTTGGAAGCTTTTGAACAGAGGTTGGATAGCCATCTGTCAAGGGTACTTTGAATGTGCTTTTTCTGCATGGCATGGGATTGGAATAGATGGCCCAAGCTTCCAACTCTATGATTCTTTGACTGTACTGCTGAGGACAGGATCAGAATTCAAGGTGACCGTAACAGATTGGAGAGCCTGGCCAAAACTAACAAAATGAATCTCATAAAGACAAATGTTAGATAGTACACTTAGGCAGAAAAAATGAAATACAAAAATACAGAATGGGTGACACTTGCCCAATGAGGAGTGTCTTAAAGAATAGGACATGTTTAGCTTGCAGAAGAGAAGGTTGAGAGGAGACATGATAGGCATGTTTAAATATGTGAAAGGATGTCATAAGGAAGAGGAAACAGGCTTGTTTTCTGCTGCCCTGGAAACGAGGACTCAGAGCAATGGGTGAAAATTACAGGAAAGGAGACTCTACCTGAACATTAGGAAGAACTTCCTGACTGTAAGAACTTTTCAGCAGTGGAACTGACATCCTGGGAGTGTGGTGGAAGCTCTTTCCTTGGAGGCTTTTAGGCCATGGCTGAATGGCCATCTGTTTTTGCTTTTCCTGCATGCCGGGGGTTGGACTGGATGGCCCATGTGGTCTCCTCCAACTCTATTGTTCTATGATCCCTCTCGCTCACTGAATGTATGCCTTCCTAAGATTTCCATTTTTCACAGCTAGATAAAAACATATCACAATCTATGCTTGTTTTATTTCCTGAGGATAGCTTGTGAAGGAGGCTTATTTTCCTTCCCAGTGCCTGCCTTCTCTCTTGTTTGTTCCTGCATACTCAGTGAGAGATACTGGAGACGGCTACTGCTTTCCTCAGCTGTTGTAGGCATTGCTGATAGCTATAGGAAGATATGCCATAGAGAATGCTGTTCATGGGTTAC